CTTTTGCCATTCGGAAATAGATATGGCCAAATGTTAGTTGAGTGAAAAGAGTAACATTATCGCTGAAAGACAATAGAATCATTGAGATGATCTCCATACTTAATTTTGAATAATCAAGTATTGAAGCTGGTCTTTAAAACTGCCAAGAGAGATATTATAACCTATAGAAACAAACAGTTCAGCATATAATTTATCCATCCACTAAAATATATCCTAATAATTACATGAAACTTCCTTTTATTATATTCTCCCTTATTAACTGTGTATTCATGAGTGTATATTAACATTTCCATATTCCCAAGACTAACTTTGACTTGTATTATCTAATGTTAGAATACTTTCTATTTGCTCCTTATAAAAGGCTCCTCTGGCCAAACATAGTAGATACTAATTTCCAGTTATTTTGAGCAACTGCTGTGCTTTCCGATCTATCATTTATTGTTTATTCTAAGTCCTTCTTTGGCTAAATAATCTGGCCCTAGGCAAGCTTTTCCAAGTACCATATAACAAGTGGATTTTGTGTTAGGGGTGCTGGATCCTTTAAAGATATTGGTTTATCTGATGCTTCACTGTGCTGCCATGCTCAATGAGTCTTTTTTAAATTGGAATGAAAAGGTTTTGCTTTCAGAAAGTTTGGGGCAATTTAAAAATAAGCCAACACAGATCACAATATAGTTGATTATAAAGTTGGCTTCCAGTTGTTGAATGTCTGTGATGTGCCATGCACTTCCAAGATAAGCCGTATGGAAGTGAAAAATGGAACTAGAAAGTAAGCATTTCCCCCAAGCACAGTCAGCAGACCTACTGGGTAAATCCTATATGGTATTTCCAATGGCAAGCTTTATCATTCCATCAACTTGCTTTTAATAGGCTACCATGAAAAAGGAAGTATAAATTAATTCCATAGCGTACATAACGATGGTCAGCTTGTTCTTTCCATAATTATGAAGAAATGAAGCTACCACATAAGGGTAATCACTTTGTAATAATAAAAATAAGTATCTCCCCCAAATTTGGCCAGAAATCTGACCTGTCTTATTTAGGTTAGGCCTCAGCCTCAGATTGAGTTACTGGGTAAGGTTTCTAAACCACAGCCTGGGTGGCATGTTCTGCCTCTCTCCTTTTTCCCCTCAGACACTAAAACATTCTCTTCTCACATCTGATTAAAATCCAGGTTAAAGGAAGGGAGTTATTTGGAAATCTCACAACTATGCATCTGAAGAACCAGCAGGTGTAAGCATTCCTCTATATTTAGTTAGTAAAGCTGATGGGTTGGGGGCAGGACTGCATCTCATTTCACTGTGGTGTCCCCATAGTTGCTAAGATCTTGCCTTCCACCTAGCCACTCCAAAATACATATCCACGGGGATTAATAACATGTTTCTTTTGTTCACATTTAGAATGATTACTTTTTTATAACAACTATCATAAAAAATTGGGAACATAGTCTAACTGAGAATTAATAATAACTGTTGCCTATTGAATGCTTATTGGGTTTAGAGATTCAGTGCATGGTTTTTGAGCCTTATGTTAGCCCTGTCATTCTGGAGATATTGTACCCATTTAACAGATAAGGCTGCTGGACTTTGGTTCTAAAAATAGAGAAGCAGTTTACCAGCTATCCAGTTGGACTATCCAGCCTTTTGTGCATCAGTCCTGAAGATGTCAGTCACTTCAGAATCAGGTAGGAAAAGGCAAGCATTGGTATTTGCATTCAGGAGCTGCTGCCTTCTCGTTCTTAGATGCTCAGAGGGGAGCCTTCTATCCTGGGCTCTGTGCATAAAGCCTAAAACTGGTAACTCTCTTTAGGAATACCTTCTGAGATCTTCTCCCAGGGGAAAAGAAGAAAAGGTGGAGGGAGGGGCTATCGTACAAGTAAAAACATGTCTAACTCTTCTCCTGTGCCCTTGTTTTGCCTCCTCACTCACTACAGTTCCCAATTGCTTTCTAATGTTGAAATCAGAAATTATTTGTTTAGTGTATGGCTAAAAATGAAGGGCTTAAAAGAATGTCAGTAAATCCTAGCTCTTTAAATGTAGCCCTTAGAAAGCAGATGAAAGCATGTGGGCTACTCAGAGAATGAGGGAAAGAAAAGAGTACCCAGGTACTAACTAATGAAGGCAAGAATGGATTGCTGTAGCTGTTCTAGAAGCCTGGGGAATGCTTCTAACCCTGTTGCTGAGACCTTATGTGTGCCTGTGTACATACATCAAAATATTTATTTTTCATAAACTCCCTTTGTGAAATATTTCTTGAGAGAAAACAACAATGTTTAAATATATTTGCTTGAAAAAAATTGCTCCCAGTTTTTTGTTGTTGAGTTTGAAACATTTTAGAGCGGGGTTTTTGTTTGTTTGTTTGTTTTTGTGGGTTGTTTTTTTTTTTCTTTCTGGTAAAGAGTAAAATTCGAGTACATTATTTCAAATGAGTACAAAAGCTTCCTTTTCTTCTTCTTTTAGCTAAAAATGTTCACAACATTCCCTCCTTTAAGAATGTTTTCCGATATTCCTTTTTCCTAAAGAAGTCAGAGTCCAAGTACTTGAAGTATGAGAACAATTAGTGTAACTTCAGTTTTTGCTATGTCTTAGGGATGGAGTGGAGTTGTTGATGGAAAATCACTAAATAATGAAACGACTTTTCCAGAGGTCACATAAAAGCTGGCTTACGGTTCTTTCCTTTATGTCCTTTGTCTTATCTCACGAAAAGGTCTGATGATAATCAAGTCCCAGCTCTGAAATATAATTGCATTGAATTTGGTTCAGTACATCATACTGACCTTATAGATCATTACATTGCGTTAACCTCCTGTTTTTGTGTCTTCCATAAAGATATTTGTCCCTGTGGGATTTGATCTGCTGATTTTGATTTGAAAGGGTTGCCATCCAGCTGAAACTATTAAATAATGAGTTGAGTTTCTCTCTTCATTTTTTAGCTCAACACATTGCTGGCATCCTCTCAAATGTTGCAGTAAGAGGTCTCCAAAGTTACTTTTGTCCTTTGCAGCGCGACATCAACTTGACATTTATTTTTTATGGTTTAAATCAGAGCCTTTGGCATAATTTTTGTGATTTTCTTTCAGTCTGAATCAGGGCTACTTAAGGAGTGTTGGCTCTTTTCAGGTGGTATCCTCTGCTAATTCCAGCCACATACAACTTGGGTTTTAATGGATGGTCAGAAAACATAAGAGTGCTTAGTCAGGGTCATGCTACATCAATATTCTCCTTAGAGTATTGTCTTTCCTTTATGTTACTATTCTTTAAGTAGAACATATCATAGAATATAAACATAGAAGAATATATTATGCTTCTAGAAAACATATGTTTTAAAAATCCTGTTAAGACACAAATTGTCCATCTTACTTGAACCACTCTTGTTTGTTTTTTATAAAATATGTGTTTGTGTAGTCTTACCTTGAAATAAAGGCATAAGAGTCAAACCTTGTAAATTCAATCTCCACTTTACTGAATAACTGTGCATTAAAGTGGTTTTCTCCTTTTTGTTGTCTAGGAAATTGGATAGAGAATAAAACCTCTGTCTTTTCAGAAGGCCCACGATCTAGATAGAAAGAGCCTGAGTCCTTTGAGGAGCAGATGCTATGTCTGTGAAAGAGAAAATTACAATATTATTCACAAATGCTACTAATATTTATATTCAACATAAAAGCAAATAATTATCTAGCAATTCTATTCACTGGACCAAAAAATTCTAGTGTCTATGATAATAATGCCTCATTGCTTTTGTTTAAATCCAGAGATTATGACTTTCAAATCTTTCAACTACAAGGTGTGATTCCTAATATAAAATGGTATTACATTTCTTTATCTAGAGAAATGCATTTCATTTAAGAATTTCTCCTATCTTCTTTTAATCTGAGATAGAAAGGGTAAATATATTATCTATGATCTTACCAGAAAATACAGTGTTGTGTTTGTCATTTTTTATTACGCTTTTTAATATCCATGGTACATAGTAAGTTTGAAATGTATTCCAGACTTGGAATTATTTTTCTTTTGCATGTTAAACTAATTGGCTTGAATACTTTTTATGTACTTTTGTTCAACTCCACATAGAAATTGTAGATTATTCATCTGAAATGAATGAATTTTAAATTACTTAAACTTCGCATTAGTGTATGACTCTCTGAGACCAGATTTTTTTTTTGAGTATGCTGATGTATCATTTTTTTTTTTAATTTTATTTTTTATAAACATATAATATATTTTTATCCCCAGGGGTACAGGTCTGTGAATCTCCAGGTTTACACACTTCACAGCACTCACCATAGCACATACCCTCCCCAATGTCCATAATCCCACCCCCCCCACCCCCCTCCCCCCATTAACCCTCAGTTTGTTTTGTGAGATTAAGAGTCACTTATGGTTTGTCTCCCTCCAAGAACACACAGCTCTCTTTCCCTTGCACATTACTGATTTAATTTGTCTTGGATACACATACCATATATCTTGAATTTTTTACAATGTTATGTTGTTTATTATACTTTGATAGATTCACAAATTATTTCTACTTTTCTTTAAACAAGTATATTTGGAAATTTGATAGTTTACAATGAACTAGCTTATGCCTTTTAAACCTTGATGATGAGCACTAATTGTCTCACCACGTCGTTTAAATGGCTGAGTGTAATCCTCCTGATGCAATTCATAACATATATCCCAGAAAAAATTTGTGTTTTCTTTTCAAGTGCTCTAAAGTTTCAAATACCTCTTTCCTTATTTTACTCAGCAACAATCTGCAATTTATTTTTCTCCAGGAAAATTGAATCTGTTACTGCTTAGTATTCCTACCAGTTTGAAAAATGTGGTTTATATTGGCATCAGAGCAGTAATTTACATATATTGGGATAACAAGAATGCATGCCAGAAAAAGATCAACATAAAATGAAATGCAAAAAAGCTGTTTTCCTTCAATAGTAACCCCAAGTGAAGCTAATAGAGAAATTTATGAGCATCTGCCCTGAATGTGTCACTTGTTTCTTCTAGGTGAAGTGTGACCAGTATTGGCCCAGTAGAGGCACAGAAACCCATGGGCTGGTCCAAGTGACGCTTCTAGATACGGTGGAGTTGGCCACGTACTGTGTGCGGACTTTTGCACTTTACAAGGTTTGTCTTTATTTTTTTCCCTCCCTTTACCCTTTTTATTTTTTAAAGAAAGCATCTTTTGAGAAATCAAATATCTTAAGACTTTACTTAAATCTTGATTCCACTGGCAACGGTGAAGAATGAAATAATTCTTCCATTATTGCTCAGCAATTTTTCTCCTTCTCCAGCGATTTATCAGTAAATGTGGAACTCTTGCTCTGGACGGAAGTTTTGGCAAAAGAAGAATAGATGAAGAACTAGTTCTTACCGTAAAATACAATAGGCGTACTCCTGATAGTTACACCTGAAAAATGTAATGCTTCTCACCTAAGAATGTTCATCTCCCTGAGCAAATACTTGTTTACAAAGAGCTTGACATTGATAGCTCCAAAGAGTGCATCTTCCCAAAGGTCATAGGGTAGGAGGAGGAGGAATTAAGACAGCACATTTTCATGTTACCTCTTCCATGTTGCTACTCATCGTTACAACCTGAGGCTAGGAACACAAAATTTTACCCAGTCTTCCTACTTCACAGAATGGGTCAAGCGAGAAGAGAGAAGTAAGACAATTCCAGTTCACTGCCTGGCCTGATCACGGTGTTCCAGAGCACCCTACGCCTTTCCTAGCTTTCTTACGGAGAGTCAAAACCTGTAACCCTCCAGATGCAGGACCCATGGTTGTGCACTGCAGGTAAGAACCACTGAAAGCATTTGTTTTTCTCATAGTCAGAAGGTCCACGAGGAAACAGAAAGCTAAATTGTTCCTCACTGGAGAGTCTCTTTCCAATTTCTACTATCCCAATTTCTGGGATAGTAGATTGCTTTATAAATAATGCAAGTGTTTTGGGGGGCACCTGGGTGGCTCAGCTGGTTAAGCAACTGCCTTCATCTTAGGTTATGATCCTAGAGTCCCCAGATGGAGTCCCACATCGGGCTCCCTGGTCGTCAGGGAGCCTGCTTCTCTCTGACACCTCCCCTCTCATGCTGGTTCTCTCTTTCAAATAAATAAATAAAATCTTAAAAAAAAAAACAGGTGTTTTTTAATCAAACAAGGCCTATATTAACATTGGTAGAAAGGATTTGATATGGATGAATATGCCCCTCTGGACATGATAAGCAACTATGGTCCTTGCTATTTTCTCTTTGGAGCAAAAATAAATAAATATGTAAACACAAAATTAAATGTGCTCATGGTAATAACTATATGAAACAGAAAAGAATTAAGAATCAGTCTTGTGATTTGGTTCAAGTTTCATCTATGTGAGGAATATTCTTTAGAAGATGATAGATAGATAGATAGATGAATTATTTGATAAGTTCTTGTGGCCTGGGCTGATAAAAACCTTTTTACTATGTATAGGAAAGAAAATTTTGAACAAAATGATACTATAAGTATAAAATCTCTCAGAGAGGGTGTCATACTGCTTAAAGATACCTTCCTATAAAGTATTATCAAGTCACATATAGAAAATATACTAATTTGAGTTTTTAAAATTTACTTAATATAATATAAAGACCTATATTTTGGAAGAATTTATTTTATGTATTAAGAGTTAATGAGCCTGTATTTCTTTTGAAGTGTTGTATAATTTATTATTATTTTTTACTTATTTCTGACTAATATTCTTTTTTATTTTAATTTTATTTTTAAATTTTATTTTTTATAAACGTATAATATATTTTTATCCCCAGGGGTACAGGTCTGTGAATCGCCAGGTTTACACACTTCACAGCACTCACCATAGCACATACCCTCCCCAATGTCCATAATCCCACCCCCCCAA